ACGTCAAGGCTCCTGGACATTCCACGTGTAACGAAAATGAAGGGACAGGTGGGGGTGGGGGTGGGGACGGGAGTGTGTCAGGTGATCAGCATGAAACGCTCCTTCCATGTGCCCCGCCTCCTCCGTGACTCCTCCCCCCATCGGCCTCTGCCTCTCGCTGCACCGCCCCCGGCAATGCGTCGGTGGTCAAGTGGGCGGGGCTTGGAGCTCACCCAGGAGGGGAGTCCTGTAAGAGCCTCCTCTCCCATGGTTTCCAAATAGACCTGCCCTGAGCCTGTTCCAGGCCTCTCCTTGGTCCCTCCCCCCACAAAATGCCTCCCAGGCAGCAAGGTCCACAGCTGAGGTGTGGGGGCGTGGCTCTGCGTCCCGGAAGGGGCGGGGCCTCGGACGGAAGAGGCGGGGCGGAGCCCGTCAGTCCTAGCGCTGCCTGGAGCGTGCCCCGCCCGGCCACTTGAAAGGGGCCCGGGACAGGAGCAGCGTCCGGCTCGCTCAGCTGCTGCGCCAGCGCCCACGAGTCGGGCGGGGGCTTCCCTGCGCGTGGCCCTGGTTGAACAAGTCCCTTGGTCGAGGCCGCTGTCCCGGTTCTGTAGCGCGGCGCCGCCTGGCGAGCAGCGCTCTGCGGGGCGGGGCAGCGCAGCCTTTCGCAGCGGCGGGTGGAGGGGGGGGAGCACTAGGTTTGGGGGCAATTTTCAACTCTCGTGCGGAATTTTTCTCCCTCACACTTTGTGTGTGTTTGCACGTGGGGGAGGGGGCTTGTTTATGTCATTGGTTCTAGAAACGCCGCCTCCTCCGCATGGCAGCTCAGGAGTGTGTTTAGCAAGCACTTTGGTTTGCTTCTGTTCTGACCCCAATGTTATTTGCTTTCTTATACCAGTATCTTAATAGTGATAGAAATGTAGCCCTGTTAGTCTGGTGTAGCTGAAACAAAAAACAGGACTATGTAGCACTTTAAAGACTAACAAGATGGTTTAGTAGGTGATGAGCTTTTGTGGGAGTGGGTCTGGCCCAGGAAAGCTCATCACTTAATAACCATCTTGTTAGTCTTTAAAGTGCTACATAGTCCTGTTTTTTGTTTCAGTATCTTAATAGCCTTTCTATGCCCCTGTGTTTACATTGTACCAGTCCACTCCCTGTCTCTTCTAGGAATGTTGCCTATCTCAAGAAATCTGTACAGTCATTTTGCTTTTGTAAACATTCATCACATTGTTATTAGGCCAGCTTTATTGACTGGTGCTCATTAATGAGCCAGATATAGTAATGAGGAAAAATCAGATCTAACATATAGCTTTCAAGGCTGCCCTGTCTCAAGAGTATTAGTGCTCTCTCTGGGGCAGACTGTTAGGAAAAGGGTCCAACCTCCACTTTAATTTGGAATGCTGATACTTAGATTTTGTTTCGCCACTTATCAAGTGTAAATTCCTCAGGCACTATAATAGTCCTAACATGCAGTCAGTCTGTGGTGTACTCAGATTAGTCTTGCCACCCAAATAAGCATGCCTTAGTGATAGATGGTCCCTTACCAAAGATCACAGCAATATTTAGCCATTCATCTGAAGAAGTGGGTTGTGCTATCAAAAGCTCATGTTACCATCTACCTGTTTTAGTAGTATCTAAGGTGCTGCAATACTATTAATCTGTAACTGGAAAAACTTAAAAAAACCAACAAACTCAGCTACCCCCTGGGGTAATATTTAGGTTTCTCCACAGCCCAAAGGATCAATCACTTATCCACTGGCAGATGTACTTTAGTTCTCATACCAAAATGCTTACATCCCGTCCTATTATATGCTATGTAGAGATCAGGGCTGTACCTTGGAGGATGTGAGGCCTGGGATATCTCCCCCCCCCCCATTTGCCCCTTCATATTTTGGGACAGGAAAGAGTAAACATAGTTTTTTGTCCTCTTTAATGTTCCACGCTATTCCATCTGTTGTTGATGGGCCTTTCTTGTTGGCCAGAATATAACATCTTCTGTGGGATATCAGCACTTCATACTAGTTAATGTCACTTTTCTGGCTGGTGATCTAAGGGGTTACCAAACAAATGCTGAAATATTACTTTATACCTTATAGTGAATATTACTTTATACCTTATAGTGCAGCAACTTACAAGCATCACATAAAGTCAAAACACATTCTTAGAATTCTAATTCCTGTTTTACTAATACTAACACACAGCTGAGTCAAACTCATTCCAGCTATGTATAAATCATTCAGTGGAGACATGGGGACCTTCATGAGAGCTGGGATATGAGTGTCAGAGAACGAAGGCAAAGGAAGGCATTGCCTACCCAAACAGACATGGTGGCCTTGCCTACACTCTGCCTTATGTCAGGCTTCTTCCTGTGTACAGCAGGCTGCTCTAGGCCCAGCACTGAGGCTGGTGGCCACCCGGTGCTCCAAGACCAGGAAAGCTGGGGCTATGGAATCACCCAACTCGGGAGGGGGG